GACTCATGGCCCGATTAGCAGGAGGGAAATCAGGCCTTATACTTTCAACTTTTATAGCCAACTACAAAAGGAAGCCTCTTTGGAGAGAGAGGGAGGAGGCTGCATTTCAAACTGCAATGTGCACAGCACAATGCTGGTCCAAGCAGTTAACTCCAAGGCAGGTTGTCTAAGTTTTCCTTTGTAATTAATGGTTTGCAGAGCTGAAACTCAAATAACACCTGTGGCCAATTACTGTTCCCCTAACCCCCCAGTTATTCGCCTCCAAGTTTCTTTCTACTACTGTTTCACCCAACAAGTTTTCTCCGTTACCTATTTCCCAAGATCTTTCCATTTCTTCTTCGGAAATGATTTTAGAATTTCAGGAAAACGGATGAATTGGCTTACACAGGGCTATCAGTGAAGTCAACTTTCCTATCCAGAGTGTTTCAGTCCATCGGAGGTTTTTAGGTCATGACCCTTTCAGTCTTAACAGAGTTCAAACCTCCACCCTTTCAGTCTGAACAGTGTTAGGACCTCCACCTTTTCAGTCTGAACAGAGTTCAAACCTCCACCCCTTCAGTCTGAACAGTGTTAGGACCTCCTCCTTTTAAGCCAGCGGCCTTTGTTTATTGCTGAACATGAAGACAGCAAACTGGCTTGAGCGGGTAGATGGCCGAAAGTGACTCAAAGGAGAAGAAGATGAAGTGGTTAGCTAGCCAAAGAAACCTTATTTACCCTCTGTGAGAAGCCTGCCCTTGTCACCCGGACTTAGGAAATATAGCATACAGTAATAGGCCAGTAATGGCAGAGTGAGGGCTCCATCTTTAATGGCTGCCTTTGGAGTCCCAGCTTCTCTCCAGGTGTAGTGCTCATCCAACTGCACAAAAATATATAACAGAGCCTGATGTCTAGCCATAGCCCCTAGAATGGGTCTTTGAGATAGACCCACCCTTAAGATGGCTTCATGATGGTCCTGTGACCCATATGGACACTTACAAAATTACCTGAATGGGCCCAGTCATTCCTTGAAGGCATGAGTATGGAACAATGGTTTGGAGGGGTGGCTATGAAGACTAGATTCACCATTGATGGCCTTGTCATTAGAAAAACATCCTGAGTGTGAGATCAGTGAGCAAGGACATGGGCATGTATGAGGCTCTTATTACATGTGTCTATGAGCATATGGGATGGTGTGTGTGTGTGTGTGTGTGTGTGTGTGTGTGTGTGTGTGTGTGTATGAGGTGGTCTGGGTGCCCCCTTATTGCTCCTGTTACTGGTTCAATCTTCTTCATGACTGGTCTAACCTTTCCCCTATATCCTGAGGTTTGTGAGTTTGTCCCTCCGAGGACTAGGCATTACTAGAAGTGGGGCAGGCACTGTTAGCCAGCCAGGACACATTGTGATGGCATGGGTATACCTTCTGCCATCCCTTACCGAGATCCAGTCTTTTTATGTTCTCATCCAACCTCCTCTAGGAGACAGTGCTCAGGTCACCTGCCAGAGTGAGTGCAGCAGCCATGCATCTCAGGCAGGGGTGGCTCAGTCTCATAACACTAGACAAGAGGATTGGCATAGCGGCTTTCCCCCGAATGTTGCAGCATCCAGACATGTAGCAAACAATGCATCTATCCACCTTCTCTCTCCCTGGAGTGCCTTCACAAGTGGGGAGGGGACAGGACAGGACGGCAGGGTGTGGCTTCTGAGCCCCCACCCACCTGTTATTATCGCCTTGACCTGATTTGTTAATGTCTTAGAATGCTAGTTTGCCTTAAAAATACATTTAGCCTTAGGATGCCTGGGTTGATCTTGTCTGGGCTATTTTAATAAATGGATCTATGAAGACTGGGATGTGCGTGAGGAATAATGAGACACAGGATAGTGTCTTAGTTTGTTTTTTCTTGCTGTGAAGAGGCACCATGACCACGCAACTCTTATAAAGCCAAACATTTAATTGGGGCTGGCTTATAGTTAGTTCAGAGATTCAGTCCATTATCTTCGTGGAGAGAAGCCTGGCACCGTGCAGGCAGACGCGGTGCTGGAGAAGGAGCTGAGAGATCCACATCTGGATCCACTGGCAGCACCGAGAGATTGTCACACAGGGTGTGGCCCAGTGCTGCCTAGTCCATGCCTTCAAATGCCCCCATTTGTGGTAGGCCTGAAGCCGCTGGAAAACTCACACCTTTCTGCCTGGAGGCCACCCCAGGGCAGCTGCTGTGCCCTGCATTCCACTATTACCACATCCAGAGCCGGCCAGCTGACTTCTGATTGGTCTTTACCACATGGAGGGTATCTGGCAGTTGCTTCCTAGTGATTAGGGCAAGGTCCAGTAAGGTCTGGGTCTCAGCACATGTTGCTGAGTCAGGGGTCTACATCTTGCTGGGTCTTTTCTGCAGCCTGTCATGACTGCCAAAGCAGGGGTTTGGGTGAGGGTCTGGGCCCTTCAATAACACACATAGAAAACCACAGGGGGAAGTTGTTGCTTGTGAAAGCTGTCTCTTAAGTGCCAGGAACTTCTGAGTTAAGTGCATTGATGTGAAGACTCCACACAATCGTATATAATGTTTAAATTCCTCTCTTTGTGAAGCTCCCACCGACTTTCAATGCCAAGTGTATTAAAAGGGCACTTTCGATCAACTGGAACAATTCTTATCTGATGCTTTTTGAACACAAATTTCAGAGCCATCTGCATTCTCACGCCCACCGCTAAGAAATGGAAACAATTTAAATGTCGGCCGTTTGATAAGTAAGCAAAACCAGTGGAACACAGACACAATGGGAAACTAGTCAGTCAAAAAGTGAAGGAAATTCTGCCCTTTGCAACAACATGGGCGGAACTGGGGGCCATTATGAGAAGTGAAAGAGACAAGGAGATACAGAAAGAGGCAATTTCTCCAGTGGTCTGCCCCTAAGAGGCATGAAAAGGTTGACGTCACAGATACTCAGTGTTGTGTCGTGGTTATCAGAACCTGGAGAGAGAAAAGGACTGGGTATACGGGAAGATGTTGATCAGAAAAACTAGTTCTGGTGCACAGGGTACACAACAGGTAATGGTGGATATGGAAACATTTCAAAGAACAGAAGGAAGGATTTGGGGACTTTCTCTTTCTTCCCCGAGACAGGGTCTCACTATGAGGCCATAGTTGTCCTGGATCTTGTTATGTCAACCAGGCTGGCTTTGAACTCACAGAGATGTGCCTGCCTCTGCTTCCCAAGAAATGGGATTAAAGTCATGCATCGCTGCTCCTGGCTTTGAGGTGTTTTGGAAATTAAGAAATGTTAATTGCCTGAGGGACGGACACATATATCTACGAGACAGATATGACAGATAGGGAGACATGAACATCACGGAGTATGCATAGATGGCAACATCACGAGACAGTTGGTAGATGCATATAATACTCATAAGCAAGGCTACATAGTATCTGCCTGGCATATACAATTTGTGTTTCTACTTTAAAATATTAAGAAATGGTCTACAGACAATAATGGGAAAATAAAAAAATTAGAGGAATGCAGCTTGCCTTGGAACCATAATGAAAGGTAGCAGGCAGGCCACCCATTCTGAAAACATGCTTTACCAGGTTGAACAAAAAAGAGAGACGTTAACACCAACACAAAGAGGTTTCTGAGCATTCATTAGCTTCCTGTCGTCACGCTGCTTTGAAATGTAATCTCTCTTCAGTTCCCTACCTGTCCTTTTAAAAATCTTTTATCCCTCATGTACACATCAGAAAAAAACCCGATTTGAGAAATAGTTGATTGTTTTTTAAATGACGAAATCAAGTGTAGGCTCCTGCTACCCACCCCACCACCCCCAACCACTTGTGGCTCAGTGCTCAGCCCTGGCTGCTGACCGCTAGACTCTTACCTGTAAACACAGAGGATATGACTGCTCCAAGGCACCGTTAAAGGGAAGGTTTTCAAAAATGTAGGTATGAGGGAGAAAAGAGCCAGAGGCATCTGGGAGAGTCCAGAGCAGAGAGAGAGAAAGTTGACCATGGCCAGGGGACTGGGCCAGGCAATGAGGTGGTGTGTGTGTGTGTGTGTGCGCGCACGTGCGTGCATGTGTGCGTGCATGCGTGTGTGTGTGTGTGTGTGTTAGAGAGATAGAAAGACAAAGAGAGTGTGTAAAGGAGGCTGAGGACTGAGGGAGAGAGAGGGGGCACCAAGAAGGAAGACAGAGAGAGAGAGAGAGAGAGAGAGAGAGAGAGAGAGAGAGAGAGAGAGCATGAGACAGCAAAGTATAGCGTACTGGGGAGGTTAGTGTAGACTTTAAAAATGTATAACAAGGACTTGTGAATGGGCACTGAGGTCCTGGGGGCCAGCATGGGCTTTGATATGTAGCTTTGATATGTCAGTGGAGCCATATGTCCCTTCTGCCAGAGGTGAGGGAAAAGACTCCTTTTGGTAGATGCGGACTGATTTTACAAGGTCTGGAGGAGCCCTGGCTTTTATCTAACTGCCAGAAATCCCCCTCTAACCCAGATTCCTAGCAGAGTTGTTAAATTATACGGTGAACTTAAAGGAACTGCAGGCAAACTCTCTTCCAGAGTTGCTTTACCGCTTGTTTTGCGCTCTTCAGGGGCAGTGTCTGAGGGCTCAGCTTTTCCAACATATTTGGCATTGGAGATTCCAAGTCCACCGGATTATATAACTCAGTAGAAAAGATCCTTTTGTGATTCAGTTGCATGCTGGCCTTTCAGTTAGATTAGGCACTCGGCTGTGTGCAGGCTTAACAGCGGTCTTAGTGATTAAAAGGGGCTATTTTATGTCCTTAAACAAAAGTTTCAGTTGCCTAAAGAGAGCATGGTAAGTAATTAATTCTGCCTCAGTGCAGACTTCCTTCAGCAGACTTCCACGGTCGTTCAGGGAACGAAAGCTACTTTCCTAGAATGTAGTCTGCTGGTGGCTGTGTGTCTCTATGTCAAGCCCCTTGAAATGGTCTTCATTTGGATGGTGTGGAATGCAACGGCACATGGGACACTCATGTCAGTGCAGGCTTTTTGTGTGTTTCTTTCCAGATAGTGCACAGAACCCTGGCGGCCATGTTGGGAGCTCTGGCGGCATTGGCAGCACTGGCTGTGGTTGGAGATGTAAGTCGCTGCGTTTGATTTACTGACTTGCCATTGGATACAATGCCAGACCCATGGAAACTCTAGGGTGTAGTAACCGCTTTAAAGTCTTCTATACGGTGTTTCCACGTGTTTTGCCCATGATCCATAGACTCACGAACTGACACCCTTGGTTTAGGAGAGTTGTCCCTGGATATAAACACACTCAGCTATGTAGTGTTAGTCTCCATTTGGTCTGGAGACAGGTCTTAGATGTGGATCTAGTGTTGTGTGTCTGTCCATCTTGGAGACATGGAGGTGGACCTCTGGGGCCGGGGTTCTGCCCTGTGGCATTGCAGGCCTTGGAGATGCCCTATCTAAATAATGGAGGCCACTTGACAGGGACGTGAGGAATTCGTAAAGGGAGGTGGAGGAGCCTGAGTATTGTTAGGAAGCGGAGAAGTTCGGTAGTCCTGTTTGGCTCATTTAAATACCTATATGTACATGTTGTGTTTTCTTAACTTAAAATGTCATCGTAGAACTAGTGTGAAGGCAGTTGTAAGATGCGAACTTTTTCTTGGCTGCTTTGCCATAAGTAGATGCTAAACTGAAAGGTAAAATATCCACAAATTCTAAAATTTAGAGATCAGAGAGTTTTTCTTTTCTTGTAGTACTTGGAACCCAGGGCATCGCACGCGCGGTAGGCGAAAGTACTCCTGAGCTACATCCCGCCTTTACCCGTTGTTTTCAGTGATAGCCGAGTTGTGTGGGAAGAAGGATGAGGAGGTCCATGGTAGGAGCAGGGTTAATTTGGACCAGGGCTTTCTTTAGCAAGCAGTCTTTCCTCACAGGCTTAGGTTTTTACCCTTCCGGGGAGGGCTGAGGCCCAGTTCTGCCAGGCACTGCTAAAGCTTCAACTAGGATGTAGATGGCTGGCATTGGATGCATTGACTTCAGGGAACTGACTTTGGGAAACTGAGGCTGATATTATGGGAAGGAGGGGGCTGGTCAAGCTGGATGCAGTCCATGGGTTTGGGGTGCTGCTGGGCTGGAGTGGGATGGTCTCCAAGTCTCCGAGTCATGCACTTGTTCTCAAGTACTGTTCCAATAATCTTTCCCTTGGAAAATTGCTCTTATGGCACACAGCGGGCACACACATGGAGAAGCCCCTGGCCACTTGGTGAGTTGCCCTTTCCTGGCAGGCTAGGCTTCGGCAGTCCCTCACCTCACACTTAGTGCTAGGGGTACTTGGAGAGCAGAATAGACAGCTGTCAATCATACAACTCTCCCGAGGAAGACACGCGCAGACCAAACTTGCAACTGAGGCAATAATCCGGGCAACAATCTTCCCAGAGCTTCCAGGAGTGGGGTTACATTCTTTCTTTCTTTTTATGAAACTTTTGATGTGACAGATGAGCTGGATCACGAGTGTTATTCAGCAATGATATAATCCAACTCCAAAGGGAAGTGGATGGAGTGTTTCCAGCTTTGGCCCAGTGAGTGGGTTTGTACTAGGGGCAGCCCGTCTTCTGAGCTTTTGTCGGTAGGGCTGAAGCACAGGATTAATTGGCAAATTTGCGCTTTGGTTACAGAGACCCAGCCTGACCCACGTGGTGGAGTGGATTGATTTCGAGACTCTGGTCCTGCTGTTTGGCATGGTAATTACGGTCCTCCCAGCAGGACATGGCTCCAAGTCCTGGTCCTTCGCTAGTCATTATAGTCAAGGTGGCTTGACAGGGCTTGATTGAGAAGTGTTAGTGCTCATTTCTCCCAAGGAGGAGGGAATGGCTGGCGCTCTGGCTCCTTAAGTGGAGACTTCAGCATTAACACTACGTTGCTGAGCAATGAAGTGTCATCATTATTTACAAAAGTTAGCTATTTTTTTTGTTATCAACCTTAAGAAAAAGAAATCGACATACTTCCTATAAATGAACCACACAACACTTCCAGTGATTGGGGAAGTGATTTTAATTATATGAAGAAAAAAAAAAAAAAAGGTTCCTAAGTAATAGCCCTAGTGCTACCGTTAAGCTGTGAGGGACATTACGAGGTCAGCTTGTTGGAAGGAAAGAGAAAGTCATGAAGGCTTAGCACAGGACATGAGTTGTAAGTCAATTAAGGTAGATTTGGCAAGGCCCTGGGCAAAGTGGGAATGATTGTGTGTTCTTGGGTCATTCTCTGGACAAGATCTGTGGGGCTCAGCGGAACTACACCAGGAGTCTTACTTTGTAGAAGTCACCAGACAGCCTCATCTGTTTGCTGGCATCTACTCTAGGTTTTCAAGGGACTCAGAGTTGCCATTGTCTCCGGATGAGAAGGTGGAGAAGGGCTCTGGACTCAGGTTTCACGGAGGAGCCAACGGCTGTGCTGGCTGCTGAGAAATAGGGCTTGGTCATTTGGATAGAAGGGTGTCACACCAGATGTCTGTAATATACGATTTCATACAAAAGTTAAGCAAATGGAGTAGTAGTTTCGTAGAACTGCAATAACAAAGCATGGCACATATGGTGGCCTGATGAATGAACATTTATTTCTTTCTCACAGCTAAAGAGGCTGGATTCTGGGATCATCAGGGCTGGCCTCTACTGAGTCTCCTCCGTGGCTGTCTTTTCTCCATGTGCTCATGTCCCATCCTCCTATAAAGCCAGCTGTCATATTCTATTAGGGACCACCCTCACGATCTCACTGTAACTCTTTAAAAAGTCCTGTCTCCAAGTGCAGCCACAGTTTGAGGGCCTGGAAGTTAGTAGTTCAACACACACGTCTTGGGGAGGAAGGACGGAATTGAGCCTATAAAAATAGCCCGGTCTTTCTTTTCCTCAATGAAAAGTGCTCCAGCAGACACTTAGGTATTCTATGCTTTAGGTACTATGGAGTTAGTGCACAAAGCGGGTCTTACTTTCCCGGGCTTACTTCCTGGAGCTTCTTACCCCAGTCTCTGTCCAATCAGACTGTAAGGAGTAGGTTTTTCCCCGCCGCCCGTCCCACCACCATGCCTGCCCCAAATAATACACAGAGACTCTGTATTATCTGTTGGCCAGTTACTTGTTTCTTATTGTCTAGCTCTGTCTTAAGTATTAACCCATTTCTATTAATCTAAGTATTTCCACGTGGTCTCATCTTACCTGAGAGTGGGGCTGGTGTCTGCTCTCTCCAGTCTCTACATGCTGACTCCTTCCTACTACTTCCTTGATTCATCCTTGTCTCCTAGTCCCGCCTATCTTGCTTTCCTATTGGCCAACAGTGCTTTATTCATTAACCAATAAGAGAAACATATTTACAGAATGACATCTCCCATCATCAGACAGCGAGGGAATGACAAGAGAAGGCTGCCCAGTTGCCCCCCGCACCTGTCTACTTACATTCACATGAGGCTACACAGCCACACAGGGCTCTGCTGAGCTAGGAAGCTGCTCTAGACAAGGGTAGTGTTGAGTCAAAACTGACATGGAAGCATTTTTGTCTCATGCAGTTTATTTGAAAGGTATATTGGGTCCACAGTCTCCCAACTATGGAATATATATATGGAATACACACACACACACACACACACACACACACACATATTCTCGCAGCAGATTCACAAGGTAGAGAACATCTGGGGGCGAGCAGAAACTTGATGTGCAGAATGGTAAACCAGGCACACTTTACTGAGGGCTTGAACCTACATTTTCTCATTCCAAGTTCGACATGAAGCAATGTGGAGGGTAGGGATGTGAGACAGCTCCCTGCTCTTGAACTTCGTGGAGAAACCGACTTCTGCATTGGCCCTGGGAAGAAGATAGGGTTTAAGCATCTGAATTAAAAAAATAGGGGGCCATATCAGATATGGCATATTAAAAAAAAAAAAAGAAAAAAAACGAAATGTATCTCACTTCCTGTAAAATAGGAAACGTAGCAAGTTCAGGTTTGCTGGGATTTCTGGTTGATTAAGCACAGAATAAATGGGGCATTATTTCTATTAATAGTCCACGCGATGGCTGTTTTTAATCACTTGTCATCAGTAGAAACACAGGTAAGCATTCTTAGTGCACATAGGATTGGAGGTCAGTCGCTTTAAGTACCAACGGTCCAGCTTGTCCGTGTCATCATATTTGTGACAAAAAATTTCCAGTTTAGTTATGTCAGAAACCAAAATTTGATACAGTTTTAAAGCTATTTACTTAAAGCTCTCGATTGTCTGAGTGCTGTGTATGGGGGTAGACAGGTAGAAAGCCCAACTGCTGGCCCTGACCTTCCCGCTTCTAGCTTCAAAACCGATCAAGCCACCTGTCTCTTTGGTCTAGAAAAACGAGTAAAGATAGCACTAGATGTTTGCTGTCAGGGTTAGATGGGTTGATAACACGTCTTAGGACAGTGACAACGTCCAGGATAGGAATATACATGCAAAACCATCTTTAAGAGGTTCCACTCTGGGGGTTTGTACTTGGGTAACTGAAGTCGATGTGGATAACTGAAATGATGGACATGTGGGTAACTCGCTCTGTAGACCAGGCTGAACTCACAGAGCTCTGCCGGCTCTGTCCACACCCCCCACCCCAAGTGCTGGAATTAAAGGGGTGCCCCACCATTGCCCAGCTATGGACATGTGGATGATTGAAGTGGCGGACATCTAACAAAGCAAAGGTTCTCTCGATGACACAGTTGCCAGGAGCCAGAGCTCAAACTCAGGATGGGGTCATTATGACATTGTTCCTATGTGGTGTTTTGTGTGTGTGTGGGGGGAAGAACAAAAAACAAAAAACTCTTGTTACCTACTTTTTCTTTTTTCCTCATAGATGATCTTAGTCGCCATATTTTCAGAAACAGGATTTTTTGATTATTGTGCTGTAAAGGTAGGTGTGATGTTACGCTTGATGGTTGACCACTGAATAAATAAATAGTAAGCATAAAATATTTATGTATAGTCAAAGCGATGTAAGTACAAACATAATCAATAATTGGTAACATCAACTAACTAAATACTACTATTCATTATTGTAATATACACACTTAGTAAATTAAAGTATCTAAAACTTCAGCCTCCTTTCAAAGTGACCTCCGGAGGCCTGGGTGTAATTGCCGTGATAAGCGTGACTTAGAACAATACTTCCAGCTTCTCCATAAGTAAACGAAGAGGGAGCTCAGGGCAGAATTCTCTCCCTGAACATTTCTACAAGAGCATTTGAATGGGCTGGTTAGGGTTTCACATCAAAACACACTTTACATTTAAGAGTCTGAGTATTTCAAGTCATCAGCTTCTGACTGCATTGGGGGATATAATTTTGATGTTTACTTTCTGGACATGAATAGTACTGGGTTTTAAATTTGGGGAAATCATTTGTTGCTGTCATTTTAATCTTGCATAGGCTGTATTTATTTAGTTATTCTGGGGGTTGGACAAAGGGCCATGTGTATGCTCAGCACATGGGCTGACACACTCACTCCATAAAGGACTTATTTTTTTAAACTTATAATTACTATTATTTGATTGATAAACCATAATCATGTATGTTTGGGGAGTATAATATGATGTTTCAATGTACATGCACACAATGTGCCATGATTAAATGAAGCCAACTAACCTATGCTTACATATCATTTTTTAATGGTGACATATTTGAAATTTACTTTCTTTTCGTTTGATTTTGAGACAGGGTCTCTCTACATAGCTCTGGCTGTCCTGGAACTCTCTACATAGACCAGGCTGGCCTCAGCTTACAGAGTTCCACCTGCCTCAGCCTCCAAGTGCTGGAATTAAAGGTGTGAGCCACTACACCTAGCTTGAAATTCACTTTTTAAAGTTATTTTGAAACACACACAACATTAAATATAGTCACCCTGCCTGTGTGGTAGCTCTCCAAATCTACAACTTCTTACTGTACTGTGTACCCTTTGGCCAGAGTCTCTCTATTCTCTCCCTCCCAGTCCTGTAGCCCTGCTTCTATGGGATTAGTTTCTTGGAGTCCGAACAGAAACGAAAACATGTGTCATTTGTACATGCATGCCCAGCTTATAGCACTTAAAACAGTATCCTCCATCCATTATTATATTGTGTTAAGCCATTGTTGAAAATGTCAGGATTGCATGGCTGAATAGTATTTCCTGATGTTTATGACCATGTTCTCTTCATACGCTGACAAACACTTAGGTCGACTTCATATCTTGGAAGAGTTCTCTAACAAACACGGAGCACATGTTTGTTAGAGAACTCTTCACCATGCACATTTGCTTCCCATGGTCCTCTTTTTAGTCCTTGGAGAAACTCTGTACTGTTTTCCATAACGATTTTACACCAGTGAGGGAGGATTCAGAGACAGGCTGATCTCTGTGAGTTGGAGGCCAGCCTGGTCTGCAGATCGAGTTCCAGTACAGGCTCCAAAGCTACAGAGAAACACTATTTCCTTGAGGACAAAACCAACACCCCAAAACAAGACAAAAACAAAAACAACAGCAGCAAAACAAACCCCCAAACAGAGCTTCACTTAACATAGTCCCGCCTCACTGAGTTGCTGAGTGTTGTAGGGATTCATTTAGCCTCGCCTACAACTGAGGATGGCTGATGTGACAGTCCTGAGCCACCACACCTGGTTTATGTGGTCCTGGGGATTGAACCCTTGACCTCACGAACGCTAACCAAACAATCTACCACTAACACATGTCACCAGCCCTGTTATCTTTTAAAATGAAAATCCTAATGGGTGGGAAATGGTAACTCATTATGGTTGGAATTTGCATTTTAACGGGAACCCTGGCTACTCTGTCAGCAGGTCTGAAGATTAGAACTGACCCTTGCACACATAGTGGACGAGGGGAGATGGTGCCATGCCCTAGTGGGCGAGGAGGCCTTGGCACACTCTACTAATGCAAAGGCTGGTACTGACCTTTACTTGAGTCCTGGGATTGAAAACTTCTTTTTCAAAACAATGTCTTCAACAAAACTGCAAATTCTGAATTAGGATTTATTTTGGTCCCCATATCTTGGAGCCACTAGTGTGTGAATGTACTGATTTTGGCTTGTTCCTTCTCGTGTGTGTATCCTAGGCATACCAACTTTCTCGAGGAAGAGTGTGGACCATGATCAACATGCTTTGTCTCATTACGGCCATCCTTTCTGCCTTCTTAGACAACGTTACCACAATGCTCCTTTTCACCCCTGTCACCATAAGGTGTGTAGAACACGTCCAACGTGGAGATTCAGATCAGGTTTTTACCCCCGTCACCATAAGGTGTGTAGAACACGTCCAACGTGGAGATTCAGATCAGGTTTTTACCTCCGTCACCATAAGGTGTGTAGAACACGTCCAACGTGGAGATTCAGATCAGGTTTTTACCCCCGTCACCATAAGGTGTGTAGAACACGTCCAACGTGGAGATTCAGATCAGGTTTTTACCTCCGTCACCATAAGGTGTGTAGAACACGTCCAACGTGGACATTCAGATCAGGATTTTACCCCCGTCACCATAAGGTGTGTAGAACACGTCCAACGTGAACATTCAGATCAGGTTTGGGGCAGATTAGCACTCTGGTACCTCCTGGCTCAGGGTTCCTTCCTCACATACACAAAAGGTAGGGGTTGTTATCCATCCCTTTGCTGGGGTACAGGTCGTGGGCTTTCCAGCCCAGCCGATTCTGGCTCGTGTGACTGCAAAACTCTAGGCAGGTAGAGGTATCAGCATAGTCCAGAAATACTATGAGAAGTTGGAAGACATGAGCATTGCTTTTCAGGAGATAGACTGTCATGGGAGATACAGGCAAGCCATTCAAGTAGATCGCCAGATACCAGGAGTTTTTGCTCATGAATCCCACATTTTCATGATGGGGGATGTCCTTCTGTATATATGTTTCTCTAATTGGTTGAGGTGTAAAACACTGATTGGTCAGTAGCCAGGCAGGAAGTATAGGTGGTGTTATAAGACGAGAAGAATTGTGAGGAGAGGACACAGGGGTCACCACCACAATTTCAACTTTTACTTACTCCTAGGGCCTAGTCTTCTGCTGATCGGGTTTTGGGCTTCCAAAGATTCCAGAGCAAATCTCATACAGCCAAGGTAGAGGTCCATGGCTAAGGAAGAAGTAATGAAGGTGGTGATCCAAAGAAAGTACTGAGAGAGAGGGAAGGAGGGAGAGTGAGAGAGAGAGAGAGAGAGAGAGAGAGAGAGAGAGAGAGAGAGAGAGAGAGAGAGAGAGTGTTCAGGGTCTCCAGGAAAGGGGAAGAGAGATAAGGGACTAAGTCAGCAGGCTTAGTGTTACTGCTGGTGATCTCTGACTACCTGCCACTCTCCTGACTCAAGGCATCTGATGGCCAGTGCCTACTTACATGCTCTAGGTCCCCCCTCTACTGCCCCCCCCCAACAGAACACACAGTACTGTCTCTAGGCTTGGAGCAGGCAGAAAGTACATCATCACTTGGATAGCACAGATGGTGGTATGCTAACATAGAATACTTGTAAATAGTGGGGTACCCAGGGATGTTTTGGTGAGGCTCATTCCCCTGCGTTACTCTTCACACACTTGGTGCGTGCGTGCATGCATGCGAGTGTGTGTGTGTGTGTGTGTGTGTGTGTGTGTACACGCAAGCGCGTGCGGGCATGAATGTACCTTCCTTGAACAAGCAAGTTGCACACCGGCCTTATCCCTTTCTTATATTCATGACAGGTTATGTGAGGTGCTCAATCTTGATCCAAGACAAGTCCTAATTGCAGAAGTGATCTTCACAAACATCGGAGGAGCTGCCACTGCTATTGGGGACCCACCAAATGTTATCATCGTTTCCAACCAGGAGCTGAGAAAAATGGTAAGTGATAGCACACTCGGGTTGCTTTCAGGAAATGCACGACTCACCTGAACACTCTATGCAGTGTCTTCTACTTAATGGTTGTGAACCAAGGTCCCTGCTGTCACCTACCTATTCACAGAGCACACCACTGATGGTAGGAGAGCAAAGGCAAGAAAGGCCCTGCAAGGTGATAGGGCTGCATTTGGGAGCTATGCTGATAGCATAATGCGATGGGAGGTGGTTTTGTTACTGAGGCCATCAAGGAGAAATGTGTAGGAAATTGCAGAGGGATGTAACATCCGAAGGAGTTCCCAACACGTGTCTAATAGGCTTGGTGAAGACATCAGCAATCCATGGCACACTGAGTCTCCTCCTGCTGGCTCTGAGAATCGCCAGTTTGGGTTTTTCTCTTCTGCCTTTCTGCTGCTTGATACGGTCACCCGTAGAGCTCTTCTAGTAACTTCCACCCAGTGCTGTTGCTTTGCTGGGCTTATCTCTCAGGGTCTCATTAACTTTTCTCTCTCCTTATCTTTCTGCTCATCTCAACTTTCATTTGTTGTCCCACTTCCAACGGGGGAAAACTTAGGTGCTCTGACCAGACCCAGAGCTACTCAGGATGCAGGACGTGGGTTTCCTCAGCCCATGTTTGCTAAAACTAACAATTGTATTTTGTAACCGGTTGGTTTAAGGTAAACGTATGGATATTGTATTTAAGTCATTTTCTTAGGCTTATTAAAATTTCTGGTGTTTGCTTATTTTTTTATTTTATGTCTTATGGGTGTTCTTGCCTGCGTTCATGTCTGTGTACCATGTGCCTGCTTGGTGTCCACAGCCGTTAGAAGAGGGGTTCTAATCCCTTGGACAGACAGGTCAGTCTGTCACTGTTGTGTGAAAATTTAGTCTTTTTACTCATTGGCCTTTTTGGGGGGGCCTGCTACCTAGCTCCTGAGTAAGTCATACAGGGAGTCTTATTATTACCTATGAATGCCCTGCCTTAGCTTGGATTGTTTCTAGCCACCTTCCCTTCCCTTCCCTTCCCTTCCCTTCCCTTTCCTTCCCTTCCCTTTTCCCCTTTCCCTTTCCCTTTTCCCCTTTCCCTTCCCTTCCCTTTCCTTCCCTTCCCTTTTCCCCTTTCCCTTTCCCTTTTCCCCTTTCCCTTCCCTTCCCTTCCCTTTTCCCCTTTCCCTTTCCCTTTTCCCCTTTTCCTTCCCTTCCCTTTTCCCCTTTCCCTTTCCCCTTCCCTTCCTGTCATTTTTGATTTTTCGAGACTGAGTTTCTCTGTGTAGCTTTGGAGCCTGTCCTGGAACTCAATTTGTAGACCAGGCTGGCCTTGAACTCCCAGAACTCAGCCTGCCTCTGCCTCCTTTCCTTAACGTAACCTAACCTGTCTATCTTACTTCTGTATACTTTCCTTCCTACTCTGTGGCTGTGTGGCTGGCCCCTGATGCCCTCCTCTCTTCCTTCCCTTCTTTCTCCTTCTATTTTTCCCCTTTGCCTGCCAGCGCTGCCTACCCTTGCTCCGGCCTCACTATTGGCCGTTCAGCTCTGTGTTCGGGCCATCGGGTGTTGTAGACAGGAAAAGAATCCCATTGCCACACTCTTGAAAACAGTCTTCTACCACATGTCACCTGTAACTGGACAGTCGTGAGCCACTGTGTGGGTGCTGGGGGGGGGACCCTGGCACCAAAGATATAGCTATCTTCCATCAGACATCTGGGGTGTGAACTCTGTAGATAAATGTAAAGTTTACATTCAAGGTAGTGTTCCAGCTGAAGGGCTGCCAGAATGTGGTGAGTTCTGAGTGAGGTTCGGTGACACACATACCTAGAACCCCCGTTACTTGGGAGGTGGGGGCGTTTAGCCCAAGCTGTGTAGTGAGAGCTGTTGAAAGATAGATTTCCTGAATGGTTACTGATGCCTGTGGAGTTTTCTACCTTTACCTGTCTGGACCGCTGTGTCCTTGGTGACCAAACCCTTACAACCAAGATCATTCAACCTCTGAGATCCCAATGCCCCACAGTCCTGTGGGTCCCTTGACCCTCACCCCCCCCCCCTTTATGGCAGTAGCTGCTCATGGAAACTACCTGAATTCTCATAGGCGATAGTCTCCAAGGCCTCATCTGTCCTACTGATGCGACTTATTCTCTTATAGATTAACCTAAGGGTGATTTTTGCCAAAATGAAGCACATTCAACAGATGACCGTGACACAGCCCTACACAGACAGGCAGAGAAAGAGGGAAGAAAGGGAGGGGCTGCCTAGGGGCCTCGTACTCTGTGCACACACCACAGTGTCCAGTGGGGGAAAACTGTACTTTACAGCCAGGGGATGCTTCTTCCAACCCCACAGCATGCACTGTGGTCAAATATTTAAAAAAGAAATTAACCATTAAATAAGTGAATATATATATATATATATATATATATATATTTGAAAAGAAATTAACCATTAAATAAGTGTATATATATATATAAATATTTAAAAAGAAATTAACCATTAAATAAGTGAATATATATATATATATATAAATATTTAAAAAGAAATTAACCATTAAATAAGTGAATATATATATATATTTAAAAAGAAATTAACCATTAAATAAGTGAATATATATATGGGCACATTGTTCAGTGTTTTGACCCCAATTCATCTTGGGGCAACACATTAGCCCTGTGATGAAGATAGACTGAATTTGGCTAGGAGCTAGTTGTTACTGCCTGTTTTTGTTTCCTTCTAAGGTGGCTTGTAATTTATGTAAGCACTGTTTTTTTTTTTTCAGAAACACAAAACACAAAACTATATATATATATATATATATATATATATATATATATATGCTTTAATCAGCCAGTTGGTGGCATACATCATTAATACCAGAATTCAGAAGGCAGAGGTAGATGGATTTCTGTGAGTTTAAGGCCAGCCTGAGCCTGATCTACAAATCACGTCCCAGGACAGGCTCCAAAGCTACACAGAGAAACCCTGTCTCATAAAACAAAACAAAAGGAACCAAACCAAGACAAAACAACACAAAACCCAACAAACGACAGCAAGAAGGCTTTAATCATTTCAGACGCACTGAGCATCGGTGTTTGGGCTGGGGGACTCCTGTCCAAAGGTCACCCAGCCCCTGCTGTTTCCATTTCGCACTCCCCATCGGTCTTCCCAAGGCCCACCTGTCAGATACCACTGCTTTGTCTTGCAGGGCCTGGACTTCGCTGGTTTCACAGTGCACATGTTCCTTGGGATTTGCCTGATTCTCCTGGCCTCCTTCCCACTCCTCCGACTCCTGTACTGGAACAAAAAGCTCTATAACAAGGAGCCTAGTGAGATTGTCGGTGGGTATGAACACCTACCTCTCCACGCTGCAGATTCCCCTCCCCCCATGCCCAGCCCCAGGGGGTGGTCTTATAAGCAGGAAGGGGTACTCTCCCACAGGACCACCAGGAAGGCATCGATTTGTCCACAGGATGCTGCATGCTTAGGGGCAGTGGCTGTCCACAGCTACCTCCAACCTACCCAACAAGCTGCACTCAGCTGCTTCTGTCTCAGTGTGCTGAGCAGCTGTAAAGGCTGGCCTGCTTTTAATCTGTCATCTTGGCCTGTTCCTTATGTAATTTTTTCCCCCTTCAAACTGTAAAATAGAGGTTAAGCGTAAGCCTCATATTATCTCAGGAAGCAATGGATGGCAAACCATCTCTCTCCCGTTCACTATCAGAAGGTGTCTGAGTTCAGCGACGGGTGGAAGAGCTGTTTCTTCCTTTTGGCCAGCATTTCAACAGCTGATTTCTTGTGCGACACCCGAGCTCACAGGGGATAGGAGAGGGAATGCCCCTCTACCTCCCATTTTCTTACCAGATTCCCTCTAGAGGTGCCAAACAGAGAGTCACAACTATACTGCTATTCAAGAACTCTGTTTTGGAAACCAAAGACCGGGGCAATTGGCTGAGTTCATTTGTGTTGCTAGACCTACCACAGCCTGGCAAGCTAAAAAGTTAGAGGCTTATTCATGCTAGCTTACTGTCCCGGAGGCAGGCAGTCCAAGAGCGTGGCTCCAGTAACCGGTGAGGCCTCTTTGCTGCATGTCACATAGTTTGGAGAGGACAAGCCCGATGCGCTTGCTTTTTAGTCAGACAGCTGAGGAACTATGTCACGTGGAATGAAAACTGTAACAGCAATGCTCAAATTTCGGCTGAAAGCAGGGCCGGTGAGAATGGGCTGGGGTTGTTAGGTCCTAGAGTTGCGACACTGCTCAAACAAAAGTGCAACAGCAATAAATTCATAAGTGAATTAACAAAGATGTTGTTTGAGAAAGGACTTTATTCTTCAGGCAGGGTTGAAATGGCTTCTCTTGCTTCCACGATGACTTTCAGAGTCCCGTTATTTTGTCTGGTTCCATCATCACAGCCCGTGCTGTGACGAGCCTGTGCTAGGTGGAGCATGGTTGCACATTGTTGGGGACATGGTGGGCAGTGGGGAAGATTTGCTGATGTCCGAGGGTGGGAGAGACTCAGTGCCTTGCTGTCATTCCTCTGCAGAACTGAAGCATGAGATTCATGTCTGGCGTCTGACTGCACAGCGCATCAGTCCAGCCAGCCGCGAGGAGACAGCTGTGCGTGGCCTACTGCTGGAGAAGGTGCTGGCTCTGGAGCACCTGCTGGCCCAAAGATTGCAATCTTTCCGCAGGTACCATACGATGCTGCTTGGGTTTACACCAGGGGCTCCTTATAGCTTGAGCTCCATGGTGGCATTGCATGAGGAATTGCAATCAAATGTCATATGATACCCAAGTGAGTTTAATCTTTTTTTGATCAAAGCAATAGTTAATTTTCTGTTGCTATAATTAAACGCTGTAGCAACTTATAGGAGGAAGTGTGGTGATATATTATTTATGGTTTATTAAAGCTTGCCTGAGGGTACAGAAAGCAAAGTCAGCCACAAGCTATAGAGGTCAGGCAGTGGTGATACACACCTTTAATCCCAGCAGCCACACTAGTTAGCTATAGAAACTGAGCAGTGGTGGCACACATCTTTAATTCCAGGACGCAGGATTAAGAGGCAGACGGATCTCTGTTAGTTCAAGGCTACAATGGCTACATGGAATTGATCCAGTCCTAAAAGAAACAGCTCAAACAAAGGCGATCTCAGCACCTGGGATCACACGCCTTTAATCCCAGCGCTAGGGAGACGGAGACAGGAGTGATATGGCTGAGTGGAGAAAGGAATGAAGAGCTTTTGCCTCCAAGGATTTGTGGAGACTGACTTGCTTTCTCTTGCTCACTCAGCTTGTTTCTCTATACTGTCTGCCCAGGGTGACACTAGTCACAATGAGGCAGGCATTCCCACATCAGTCATTAGCCAAGAAAAGGGCCCACAGTCTTGCGTACAGCTATCTGAAGGAGGTATATTTCCTGTTAAGGATCCTCCATCTTAAATGACACAAATTAACCAGTACCATTGATAGCCCTTGTCAGTTTGAGACGTAAACACATCACTGTTAAGCCACAACCTTTCCCTGATTATTTCCAGTATCCCATTAAACATAATATAACTTTAAAAATCCCACAATCTTTTAATATATATATCTTAAAATTTTAGATTATATTATTGGTTGTGAGCCTACTCTTTAAGGACTGAGCCATCTCTCTAGCCCCTGAGATTATAATATAAATACATCTGGGAGCTGGAGAGATGGTCCAAGTGGTTCAAAGCACTGGCTGCTCTTCTAGAGGATGTGGGTTCAATTCCCAGCACCCACATGACAGCTCACTATGGTCTGTGACTCTAGTTCCAGGGGATCCAACACCCTCACACAGACAGAAATGTTGGCAAACCACCAATGTGATAAAATAAAAGTAAATAAATTCTATAATATAAATATATCATTTATCTTTCCTTTACCTCCCTTTAAATCCTCCCATGTATATTCCTTATCTCCTTTAAAAAACTTCTTGGCTTTTATTTTCCATTAATTTTTGTTACATGCATATATGTATATGTATATACATATTTAGGAATATCACCTGCTCAGGGATGACCATTTGGTGTTGTGTTTTCAATTGGTTTGTATCTCTTTGGAGAAGATTGTTTTCCTGGTCTCAGCATTTCTTAGTTTCCTGTAGTTCTTTATGTAGTGTCCAGTCCTTGTGGTCTTTTGTTCATCCACTTTGACATGTCTATTGTGTTGTTCTTGTTCCGATCATGTTGGTGAGACTCTATGGGTAGTTTTTGTGACGTTACTAGAAGACACGGTCTCACAGCAAACTCCTTGATCTGCAATGTTCCCTGTCCCTTGGGTGCTAGAGTTGCTTTGTAGAGGTATCTACCGGGATTGGGTTCCACAATTCCCTGAACGTAGATTGCTTGTTGTTCTCTGTTATGGTCACTGTCTGTTGCAAAGAGAAATTTCCTTGATGAGGTATGAGCACTATACTTATCTGTGGCTATAAGGACACAACTTTTTAAATGTAGTTGGGGATTGTGCAAATTTAGTTAAGTGGTCGTTTGTAGGTCAATATCCATTGACTTTACTAGTCCTTGGTAATCGGTTATATTTCCAGTTCCAAGCATGCTTTCCCTCTTTTAGAGGAGGTTTTAAGTTCAATTAGAGAGCTTTTGGTTGTTGTATATTTGTATTCCATTTGCAAGTATTTTCTTGAGCACTTTAAAGTGGATACTCATTAGGGATATTCACCTACAATTTTATTGTTTGGTTGTGTTGCTAGTTGGTTTTGGTTGTAGAGTGATACTGGCTTAGAAGGAAGGGTTTTGTTGTGCTCATTTATAATTTTTTAAAAAGTAGTTTGAGAAGGAAGGGTTTTGTTTTTTAAAAGAAGTTTAAGAAGGGTTGGATGTAGATCTTTGAAAGTCTAGTAGAATTCTGTGGTGAATCCAGCAATCTCCTCATTTGCTGTGAACCTGTTTAGGTTGATGACTTCTCTGTTTAGTTTTTATGGTTACCGTGAGTCTATAAATTCATTTACTTCCTTTAAGTTTGCCAGCTTAATTAAGTACAGGTTTTAAAATAGTTCCTTAGAGCATTCTGAATTTCTTTGGTATCTGTTGAATATTTCCTTCCTTCTCCCCGTCTCCCACCCCTTTTGACTAGTTGGACCAAGGATTTATCAATCTTGTTTATTTTCTCAAAGAACTAACTCTTAGGTCCATTGATTGTGCCTTTTATTTTCTTTGTTAGTCATTAATTTCTGCTCTGCTTTTTTAAAAAATTAGTTCTTGCTGTTGACTGGGTTTGGATTTGGTTTGTTCTTGTTTTTCAAAATTTGTGAGTCTTATCACTAAATCTCTAACTTTTACTCATCCTGATGTTTTATTGTTGGCACATAGAGATATTAATTATTCTTGTAGAACTGCTTTCCATGTGTCCCAGAGGTTTTACTGTGTAGTGTTTTCATTTTCATTTAGTCCTAGGACATTTTCTTTCTTTCTTCTTTGGCCCATTCAGTAAAGAGTCATTTAATCTCCATGAGTTCCTATATTTACTAGAGATTCGTTTGTTGTCAATTTTGAGATTTATTGTCTTGTGGTCAGATATGATATAATAGTTATTCAATCATTCTGAATTTGTAAAAATTTGTTTTCTGTCCCATAATGTGGTATATTTTTTAGAAAGTTCCATGTCCTATTTAGTAGAATGTTTATTCTTTCGTGGTTAGGTAAAATATTCTGAAAGAATCTGTGAAGTCCATTTGATGTATGATGTTAATTAATTCTGATATTTCTGTTTATCGTTTGTCTGTTGGGGAAAGTGGTGTGTTGAAATCACCTACTATTAATGGGTTGATTTTAGTCTGTGCTTTAAAACCCAGTAAGACATTATATTAGGGTAGTCAAGTCTCCTTGGTTAACTGTTCCCTTGATTAGAATAAAGTGTCCCTCATTATCTCTTTTGATTAGCTTGTTTGAAGTCTATTTTGTCAAGTATCAGCTAACCTAACTGCTTGCTTCTTGGGTCCATTTGATTATAGTATGTTTTCCCATATTTTAGCTCTAAGGTGACACCTTTATAAAGCTCAGATGGATTTCTTGTAGAGAACAGACAAATGGATTTCTTTCTTTTCTTTTTTAATAAAAAATAGTTTTATTGATTCTTTGGTAATTTCACATTATGCATTCCAATCATGCTCATCTCCCAATCCTTTTATGTCTGTACCCACACTTGTAGCTTCCTATAGTGATAACTCCCCAAAATAAAAATGAAAATTAGAAAAAAAAGTCTAATTTGTGTTATGTATATACTCACTGGAGCATGGTTGAGCTCCCAGTGGCCAGTCCCATAACTAGAACTGAGCAATTTTCCTCCAGAACCTCTGCCAGAGGCTATCAAGTATGGAGGGCCAACTTCAACATCCTTATCACATGTTTAAAGAGTTCTCTTCAGTGGCTTCCTGTCTGGTGGTGGGGGACTAGGGGTTTAGGTCTTGTCACAGAAGCCTTCCAGGTGCCTTTTTCTCAATTGTGTGTCTGAAACCATCAATATCTCTGAAAAAGTAGCTTCTTTGCTTTTTATAGTCATTGGACACATGGAATCATGGGCATCCATATGTTTTCTGGTAAACAACACTGATTATGAACACGCTCCTAGCTGCAGTAAGACCACATTCTTCACCAAAACAAGAGCAATCTAAAAGCAACATACTAAAATTCTCCTCTCAAACCTCTTGAGCCACGCCCCCACAGTTCAAATCACCCTTGGTACCACTGTCTCCAGGTACCTACTACTGTGACCCATTACACAGGGCTTAAGGCATTCCACTGCTTTCCTAATCCAAAGTCCCAAAGTCCATATTCCTCCAAACAAAACCATGGTCAGGACTATCACAGCAATAGCCCAGTCCTCAGTACCAACTTCTGTCTCAGTTAGGGTTTCCATTGCTGTGAAGAGACACCATGACCATGGCAATTTTTACAAAGGAAACCATTTAATTGGGGCTGGCTCACAGTGTCAGAGTTTTAGTCATTATATGGTGGCAGGAAGGCAGACACATGAGTCTTTTGGGGACATCTCTATTCAAAAACTACCACAATATGTGTACCCTATTATTAAATTAGATTATTTGATTTTTGAAATCTAATTTCTTGAGTTCTTTATATATTTTGAATATCAGTCCTCTCTTGGATGTGGAAGTGGTAAAAATCTTTTCCCATTCTGTGGATTGCTGCTCTCTGAATGACAGTTTCCTTTGCCTCACAGAAGCTTTTCACTTTTATTAGGTCCCATTTATTAATTGTTGAACTTAGTGTCTGAGCTATCAGTATTCAGTTCAGGAAGTCTTCTCCTATGTTAACGAGTTCAAGGCTATTCCCACCTTCTATCATGTTCAGTGTATCAGGTTTTTCTCTCCTCCTCCCCATTCTACTCTTCCTCCTCCTCCTTCTCTCTTTCAGTGAGTCAGGTTTTATGCTTCCGTCTTTGATCCACTTGAACTTGAGTTTTGTACAAGGTGATAATTATGGATTTATTTGCATTTTCTACATGCTGACATCCAGTTTGGCCAACACCAGTTGTTGAAGATGCTTTCTTTCTTCCATTATATATTATTGGCTTCTTAAAACAAAACGAAACAAAACAAACAAACAAAAAACAGGTGTCCATAGATGTGTAGATTTATCCATGGGTCTTCAATTGGATTCCATTGATCAATATATCTGTTTTTATTACTATGATTCTGTACAACTTGAACTTGGGAATGGTGAGACCTCCAGGAGTTCTTTATTGTTTAGATTGTTTTAACTATCCTGAGTTTTTGTTTTTCCATATTAAATTGAGAACCATCCACTCAAATTCTGTGAAGAATTGTGTTGGAATTTTGATAGTGATTGTATTGAATCTGTAGATTGCTTTTGGTAAGACGGGCCATCTTTTACTGTGCTAATTCTACTAATACCTGAGAACCATAAATCTTGTGATATCGTCTTCAGTTTGTTTCTTCAAAGACTTGAAGTTCTTTTCATTCAGGTCTTTTACTTGCTTATTTAGAGTTACCCTAAGATAGTTTGTGTTATTTGTGGCTATTATAAAGGGTGTTGTTTCTGGATTTCTTTCTCAGCCCTTTTATCATTTCTATATATAAGAAGGCTGCTGAGTTTTACAAGTTAATCTTGTATCTAGTTACTTTGCTGAAGGTGTTTATCAGCTGAAGGAGTTACCTGGTAGAATTTTTGGAGTTGCTTATGTATACCATCAAATCACCTGCAAATAGTCATACTCTGGCTTCTCCTTTCTGATCTGTACCTCCTTGATCTCCTTTTGTTGTCCTGGAGCTCCAAGTACTGTACTGAATAGATATGGAGAGAGTGAACAGCCTTGTCTTCTTCCTGATTTTTAGGTGAATTGCATTGAATCTCTCTCCATTTAATTTGATGCTGGCTGTCTTGGAAAAACAAACAAACAAAATAAAAAAGAGAGTGTTCTGGGATATAGCAATTCTCTGGAAAAAAAAAAAAAAAGGCTGGTCCTTGAAAGGTCACAGTGTGTGGCTATCTTGAGAGCTGCTTTGTTAGCAGGAAGCCATGGTCTACTGCATGGAGGCACATATAAACCCAGAGATACAGCCCAGGGAAGAAGCACAATCTGAAGAGCAAGGTGTGGTGATTTGAATGAGAATGTTCCCCAGCGGCTGAGGCTTTTGGATGCTTAGCCGACAGTGGTGATGCTTGGGTAGCCTTGCTGGAGGGAGTATGTCACTGGGGGTGGGCTTCGAGATTTCAAAAGACTCATGTGCTTTTGAGTTCAGTCTCTGCTTCTTCAGTTCTTCTTGAGACGTCAGCAACTAAGACACAGGACCCCATCTCAAGGTCAGAGCCCACCTCATCCCACCAGTGGTGGAGAAAAATCACTTAGATAGTCAAGCCACTGGAAGCTTCCAGGTTGCATTCTGGGGACCAATTTCAACAAGCGTCAGACCCTGCTCATGAGTCAGAGATACAAGACCAAATCTTGGCATGGAGAATTGAAGAATTAAAAATTTTCACATTCAGTGGGACCCATACTTAAAAATGTGGAGACATGCAGACTTAGAGGTTTGCCAAGTTTTCCTGAGCCCATCTTGTGCCGTTTACAAAAAAGGAAACGGAAGCTGGAGGAAGGTGGTGGACTCTCAAGGTGCATTTTGTGGAGGACTGTATTAGAAGGATGCACCCCAAGCCAAGTGATAGCTCTGCACCTTTTGCTTTACCATTTTTGGAAACGTTGTTCTCAGAATTATTCCTCTTTCTGCTGGGATTTCCTTTAGAGCTGCTCTGGGCATGTGGCCAGTCTCCTTTGGTGCTCATTTGTGATACTTGAGTGTACACAAAAATGACCTTCTTCACTGTGTAGCATCCTTCCTATGGCTAGGGTAGATGAAATTAAATCAGAAAAAGTGAGCTAATTATATACATCAAAAGGAAATTCGGGAGCTAAGGAGATTACTCAGTCCATAAAAGAATATGTCATACAAGCATGAGGACCTGCATAGGATCCCTAGGACTAATATAAATGCCAGATGTATGCCAGATGTGGTGGGGTGTGCTTGCAATCTCAGTACTCAGAAAAGTAGAGACTGGAGGACCCCTGGATTCCCTGGAGGATCTCTGGATTCCCTGGAGGACCCCTGGATTCCCTGGAGGACCCCTGGATTCCCTGGAGGACCCCTGGATTCCCTGGAGGACCCCTGGATTCCCTGGAGGACCCCTGGATTCCCTAGAGGACCCCTGGATTCCCTGGAGGACCCCTGGATTCCCTGGAGGATCTCTTGGACTCCCCGGCCAGACATCTTATCTTGACCCATAAGTACCAGGTCCCAGTGAAAGGTCCTATTTTAATAAACAAGGTAGCTCTTGAGGAATGGTACCTCAACTTGACATCTGGCCTCTAAATATATGTGCATATACGTTCATGTGCACCCATTCATCGGTACACACACTTGCACACATGTACACACACCCACTCCTGCTCTATTGCTGCGAAGAGATACAACACTTTTTTTCTTTTGAGTCAGGTTTTCTCTGTGTAGCTTTGTAGACCAGGCTGGCCTCAAACTCAAATAGATCCACCTGCCTCTACCTCTGGAGTGCTAGGATTAAAGGTGTGCACCGCCATGCCACTGCCTGGCTCACAGCAGCTCTTATAAATGAAAACATTTAATTGGGCTGGCTTGTACCTCGGAGGTTTAGTCCATTATACTCATGGTGGGAAGCATCCGGGCATACGTGGTGCTGGAGAGGGAGCTGAGGGTCTACGATTGGATCAGCAGGCAGCAGGAAGAGAGAGTGAGCTACTGGGCCTGGCTTGAGCTTCTGAAACCTCAGAACCCGCCCCAGTGACACACTTCCTCCAACAAGGCCATACCTAAGTCCAAATCGTTTCAAATAATGCCCCTCCCTATGAACCTGTGGAGACTGCTTTCATTCATGCCACACACACACACACACACACACACACACACACACACACAGAGAGAGAGAGAGAGAGAGAGAGAGAGAGAGAGAGAGAGAGAGAGAGAGAGAAGCAGGTGCAGAGAATGGATAAGAGAGGACCTCAAAGCTACAAGGTGGCGACACCTGCTTCTTCTCAGATAAAATCTCCTAAAGCAAGTAACATTTCCCGTCTCACCTCTTACTCAAATTAGTTCTAAAGATACAATGCTCTCATTTTGGAAACAAAGATACCCGGAAACATGGAAAGCGCAGTCTGGCCACTCCTACCACTATGGTGACTACTAAGTCCCATTGCTGAACTCCTGATCTACCTGGGCAAGGCTGATGGCACCCTGACGGGGGCATGGCCATGAGGTTCTGCCCCGGCAACTCTCTCCTCAGAGTACATAGGGTTTTCTTTGCAGCCTCAGCCACAGTGGCCAAGGACTCTGAGTTCCTACAACTTCCCCCCAACTTCCAGATGTTGGTTTCTGTTCCTTTTCTTTGGGGATATAGAGTGAATAGCTTTCCTAATTTCCCTGGTCACCTTCGCGGTTATCCCAGCTCTCACACGGCTATGCCAGGATCCACAAATATACCTGGGCATCCAGAGCCATAGGTGCCGCCTTGCTAATCTCACGAAGCAGCAGTGAGCTTCCTGCAACATAGAAATAACGAGAGTCCTCTTTCTCTTACAGACAAATTTCGCAGGAAGACAAAAACTGGGTGGCCAACATCCAAGAGCTACAAAGAAAGGTACCTTGTTGCCTTTTCTCAGGGGTTTCCGAGTTATAGCTTGCAGAAAAGGTGGTTGTTTTTCTACTTAGGTTTGAGTATCAGTTTTGGCTGACACAGCTAATTGCAGAACATTGTGTACCATGGTGCCGTATCTGGATGCAGGTGCACCCTGGGCTCTGCTTACACCAGCCCACCAGCATCTTTTCTGTCATTTCTGTGTTCCGGTCCCTTCCCTTCAGAACTCTCTGTTCTTCCTGTTACAGCAGATTCGGTTAGTGACTGGGAAACATTGTTCTTTTCATTCGTATAGCTTTACACCAGGCATAATTTATTTTCTATGTTAACGAGGAAAGCAGTTCTCTGAAATGGCAGAATTATCTTGTCAGGAAATGAAAACCTTACCATTTTTGTATTCCCTGAAGATGCATTCCATTTGTGCCCTGGAAAAGCATGGTGGCCACCCTTGAAGCCGACCTCTGCTCATCTCTTCAGCTCTCCTGATGACCCAAAGTGTTTACAGGGCACGTGTTTTTGAGGTGTAACGTAGGAAGTAGAGTTTTAGGGACCAGTGTATGTATCCTCCGTGTGTCCTGCCATTATAGGTTTGGTTTGGGGGCAGAGCTTTGCCTCTGCTCGTTTTCCTGTTGAGATGAGCTGTCTGTGGAGCCGAGCACATCCGAGGGACTCAGGGGATGTGTCATCATTACCTTATCACTCTTAAAGTCATGAAGGTCTTCAGGGACACAGTGCTCTCTGTGCTCCTGAGTGACTGGGCAGATACACTTATCGGTTATCCCCCGGTAAGAGGCAAGAACTGTATTTCATGGTCTCCAGATTCCTTTTGCAGGGATACCAGTACTTAAAGAATGAATGCCTTGAGCATGTTAAAGACATACAGAGCCGGTTCTGTCATGTATGTCATGTTTGATAACCACACCCTGTAATGACTCTTGGATGTGGCCTCACATGGACACCACTTACAGGAAGGGCAGTGGAACTCTGGGAAATGCATGCACATAGGAACCCTCAGGCATATGTGCCTTGGAGACCATGCATCTGAATCTTGTTCCCACAAAGATTTTTGCTAGTATCTCACTGTGTTTCCACATTTATTTTTCACATTTATTATCATTTAGTTTTCACAAATATTTTGATGTTCTCTCTCCTTCTCCCTCCCTCCCTCTCTCTCTCTCTCTCTCTCTCTCTCTCTAAGGGAATACTCGTCGTGATTCAAATGATGTAGGGATCTGAAGACTGCACTGAGAAAATGACTTGTGTTCTTCTCTCTCTCATAGCACAGGATATCAGACAGGAGTCTGCTTGTCAAGTGCCTGATAGTGCTGGGATTTGTTATCTCCATGTTCTTCCTCAATTCCTTTGTCCCTGGCATTCATCTTGATCTCGGTGAGTCTAACATTCTGTTAACTTTTGTTGCCAGCTCTGCATTTGATGTGGCAGTGTGGACTGGAGGGCTTCCAAGTCTGTTCCCAGATGATGACCGTACTTTTTACACAGCAAACTAGTGTCTGTGAAGGTCCTGGGAAATCAGGAGAGCCCTACTGAACTCAGTGTCCTGTCTGGCTACAGATAGTTTTCCCGTCGAGTAATCTGCTGCCATGAGATGGATGTGGGGCAGCTCTCAGCGGGAGGAATGCTTTCTGTGTGACCATCCTCTTTGTTGGGAGGAAGGGAGGGTATCACTGAGGGGCAGTCCATCCACAGCCCCTTCAGGGGTCAACGCTGGCAGGGATGTAGATGTCGTGCTTGACATCCACGTCTTGAAATGGTTCCTAGAAGAGCCTAAACGTCACATCAGCAAAAGTCGTTTTGCCTTCCACACAGCAAGACATCACAGGCAAACTGAAGGGTCTGGGAAATCAGGAGAGTTCTACTGAGCGCAGTGTCCAGTCTGGTTACAAGTGGTTTCCCCACGAAGTCAGCTTCTCCCCCTCTGTGTCCCTGTGGTCTTCCCTCATTGTCAGCACATTCTCCCTAGTGGTTGGCCACTGCCCTTCTCCAGTTCTGTGTCAAGGTCCACCTGTGCCCAGGGGAGAAATGGCTCTTTGAGGTTGGACTCCCGGTGCCCGCCGTCCTCTCCACAAACATCTCACGTTGCCATAGACTTCATGTGATCTTTGTAAGCGTCAGTAGTTGAAATGTAACAAAAACATCTATTTGTAAAATCCACCTCATATGAAAGAATACGCTAATGAGAAATAGACGTTCGATGTGGCGTCCAGTTTGGTGAGTAACTTGGGCTTGGCTCTCAGCCGACGAATGTTCTATCTACACCAGAGCTGGTCTTTCTGGAATCCTCTGAAGTTCTGAGGCATGCAAGAGGCAGTGCTAACACGACATGGATCTCAACTGCTTTTGGTGGGGGCGCATCTAGAAACTGTTAAAGTGTGATTATTCTAATTATACCTAGGCAGGCCATCATTTTACTGTTATAAACTTTTTATCACTGAGAAGATTAAGTCACTGTGGGTAATTAAACAAATACAGTGAGCCTGGTGTACACGAACAGAAACCTTCCTTGAGAGAGTTCTTTTGGGTGCCACAGAGAACTTTATTTTTGTGCTTGGAAAGAGAATATAAGCATTTGAAAACCTAACAACACATGGGAAAAATTTTGCTAACATTTGCCTAACCTTTTGTTGGTGTGTGTGTGTGTGTGTGTGTGTGTGTGTGTAGTCCTAGCTGTCCTGGAACTTTATAGACCAGGTGAATTTTCTATTTAATTTAATAGCTATGGAGGTCTATATAACTACCAACACATTCAGGGTATAATCTCACAGCCCCTGTGCTCTCCTTTATGGCTGTTTCTCCCATCAGCAACTTGTCAGTTTCCCTCATTATCAAGCCATCTCCTTTGAGAATGCATACGTGTGGAATTGGGTTGTATGCGACCTTCCGAAATGAGCTTCTTAAGGATTTGTGTGACTCTAAATTTTCATTCTTGGCTGTTTATCTAGAGGTGAGACCATTGGTCATATATGTATTTACATTTGACTGTGAAAGAAATTGCCGGAGTTTCCCAGAGAGGCTGTTAACTTTTGTCTTCCCATAGTATGAACGCAGCCTTACCAGCACCAGGCTGGATGGACTCCCTCCCTTAGGGCTAGTCTGATGCACCCGAGGAGTCCCTTAGCATCTTTGTCTTGGAGCAATCTGTGTGTTATCTTTGAGGGAGTGTTTTTAGTGACAAGCAATCCGTTTGGTTTGTTTTCAGCAGCAGAGAGGAGTGTGGGGGGGATCATGGGCTGCCAGCAGAGGTTAGATAAGGACAGGCTTTGAGGCTGCACGTGATTGATAGAAGCTGCTCCACACTGGCAAACCCGCTTGTTCCCTCAGGTGCCATTCGGCTTCTTGTTTTTTTTTTTTTTTCTGGCACATCCTCAATCAGCGTGTAGAATCTGCGTTAGCCACACAGAGAGAAGGCTGTTTTGAGTTTCAGATTCCCAGGTGAAGAGTCTGATCGGTGCCCTAACGCTGGAAATGCCAGCCAGGAGGATAGGGCCATGTGGAAACACATGGCTGTGATGGCTGAGGGCGTAATTTTTAGAGGAAGGGGGGTCATTGTAGCAAGACAAACATTCTGCAAACCTCCCAACACATGGCTAGTCCCTCTAGGGTCTGGTTGGTACAGTTATCTCTTGTTATCGTTGAGAGACGATCCCAACACTCCCCAGGGATCCAAAAACCTTTGGATGCTCGAGTGCCTTAATGAAAACGGCACATGTTTGCATATAGCCTAGGTACCTCCTCCTCTGGGCTCCAACTCGCCTCTAGTTGAATTCTGTTTCTCTTCCTGCTACTCCTCTTTTTTTCCTCCTCCTCATTCTGCTGCTACGGTATTTGGGATTGAACTTAGGTAAACCTACCTCACAGATGCTAGGCAAGTTTCCTTCAACATCCCTAGCAGCTCCTCTTAAAATTATTATTCTGAGACTGATCTGTTTGTTCCCTTCTCCTGGCTCAGCCTCCCAAGTAGCTGGCAGCTAACAGTTCTACTGCCAGGTGTTGCTGATCATGTCCCTCTAGGAGTTTTCAGTATGGAGGGCACCGCTTACCTCTTCCAATACTGTGAGTTTGCATCTAGCTGACTACTGCCTCCTCAAAGGTCATGAAGATGTGTGCCTGTCTCCTTTTAAAACGGTTAGCTCTTCAGTTTTGGTCGTCAACCCATCACCTTTGTTTATTGCAAGAAGAGAACGGTTTTCTTCATGAGAAGTACTGTGATTATGACATGGTCTTTACGGGATAGAACTTTATTCACATTTTATTTGTTCTTGGATCAGTATCAGTGGTTTGTACGTTTTAGGAGTTTGTGCGTTTCGTGTGGGTTAACAGAACTGAAATTTTAGTTACTATCTGACTAGGTTAATCTACATTTCATGTGGGTTAACATGAAGTCCGTAGTTATCTGAGTAGGTTAATTTACATTCCATGGCTGGCTGACGCATTAATTACTTTTCTCATAACCATGACAGAATCTTACGAAAGTGATTATTGGAAGAATGATTTATTCTGAGTCACACTACCCCGTATTTGGGAGGGGCATGTCACATGTTGGCATGGTCCAAGATGGGGAACCTTGTAGCATGGCTTGTTCATATTTTAACAGACAAGGAAAGGGACAGTTTGGCCTAGAAGTAGAGTCTCCCCACGGCTTAAAAGGCTGTGATAGGTAGGCTCCATACTCAAATGGCTCTACAACCTCCCCAAACAGTACCACCAACTGGGGAACCAAATGTCCAAAATGCGAGCCTGTGGGGGATATTTTGCATTCAAACCATACTAATTTAGCTAAATGTTTATCAATTTTGTTGCTTTTCTAAGAGCCAGTTTTGATTTTGTTGATTGTCTCCATTATTTTGCATGTTTTCTCTTTTATTTATTTCCAATATAACCTTTACCATATTTTTTTTCTTATGCTTATTTTGGATTTACAGTGCTCTGCTTTTAGTTTCTTAGCACCGAAGTTGAAGTAACTGCACTGAGGTCTTTTGGAGTAGGCTGTTTTATGTGATTACTGCCTTATCGGTTCTCACCAATGCTGCTCTACTGTGTTTCCATTTCTATTACTTCAAGGAATTTTAAATTCTACTTTTGAATTAAAAAAAAAAAAAAAGTAAATTCCTATTAAGGACTGAGCCAGATCCCCTGAACGTGGGTGTCAGTTAGGAGGCTTGGGCAGTCTATGGGGCCTCTGGTAGTGGATCAGTATTTATCCCTAGTATAGGAATGGACTTTGGGAGCCCATCCCACACAGAGTGATACTCTCTCAGCCTGGACACATAGGGAAAGGCCTAGCCCTGCTCCAAATGATGTAACAGACTCTGAAATTCCCCAAGGAAGGCCTCACCCTCCCTGGGGAGCAGAAAGGGATTAGGATGGAGGGTTGGTGGAGGGGCAGTGGAGGAGGGGAAGGAGAGGGAACTGGGATTGACATGTAAAACAAGCTCATTTCTAGTTTAAATAAAATACAGGAAAAGGGGGGGGGAGGAGAATTTATGAAGCACGATGCTTCATTTGCACAATTCATGTAGTTCTCAAATTTTTTCCATCATTGACTTCTGAATTTCATTCCAGTGTAGATATCTAATCTATCATGATTTCAGTACTCATACATTCACTGGTATTTGCTTTATGGAATAATGGGTTTTAGAGAATTTTCCATGTGGACAGGAGCGTATTTGACTTGTGTGGAGAAGTGCACAGACACCTTAGGTTGAGTTTTATTTTCTGACCTGTCGTGGCATTTTGTCCGTTGCTGAGATAAGAGTATTGAAGTTTCTGAATATTACTGAGCTATTTCATTATTTCATCTTGTGCTCTATGCACTTGAAACCTTTGTTGGTAGAGGCGTTTATGGACTTGTAGCATTTTCTTGGTGTATTATTTTCTCCCTTGCCAGCAGATGCCACACCAGTTCCTTTCATTTTGAAATCTTTGTTACCTCGTATCTGCCTAGTCAATCCAGTATCTACTTACTCACTCTTACTAATCTACACTTAGTGCTGCATCTCTGAGAATGGAGTCGTTGCATAATGCATGCTCAGCAAGAGCGCTGTCCCTGAGCTGCAACTCCAACCCTTGGGTTTTAGAGACAGATACTAAGGAACCCATCCTGGCCTCAAACACACTGTGAAGTCCCCCCCTCCCTTTTTATTTTTTACATAGTCTGAATTTCTATGTTTTGGAGTCATCGTGTGAGAAGTAATGTCTGTGTTGTAGGATATTGATACACTGTGTGAAGGTGTATTGTTGTAATAAAAAGCTGAACAGTCAATAGGTATAGGTGGGATTTCTATGGAGAGAAAGGAAGAGGAGGAGGAGTCAAGGGCATGGAAAAAGCCGGGAGGCATGGAGAGGGTACAGGAGGTGGAAGAGAGGTAATGCTACATGATAGAACTTAGATGAATATAAATGGGTTAATTTAAGTTATAAGAGCAAGTTGGGAACAAGCCTAAGATAAAGGCCAGGCTTTCATAATTAATCAGAAGTCTCCGTGTCATTATTGTGAGCTGGCCAGGGGGACAGAGCGAGACTCATTATAGGTCTGTCAACTGTTCCATTTGTTGTGGTGTTCAAGTTCTTGGCATTTATAACTTTAGCAAGAATTTCGAAATCTTGTGAGATTTGATCAGTTCAGATTCTTTCCAAATGCTTGCTTGTGAAAACTGCTCTCTATTGTCAGTAAATGAACGATGCAGCCCATTGTAGCAAGACTCAACAACACGAACAACTAGCTTTTCTCTGACTATTTGCACAATTTTGCTTAAACCCCACGCATTGCATTTTTTTTCCTGAGGGCAAACGCTGTGGGATAGAGTAGGTGGTGCTGGGTAAAACGTTGGCCCTACCATCTCAAGCAATCTAACACAATAAAGAATTTTCCTTATTTGTACTCTGCTGATCAGAAAGAGTCCTCGTGCACAGGAAACCACCGCGTTTTGATTCCACCATATTAGATAGTTTATAAGTCACCTGGGCAGGGAAGAAATGGTACATAGAGCTGAAAGCTACCTCAAGTGCTGGTTCGGAATTTGGATCTTGTTTGTTCATAGCTCAGGGGATAGAGGTTGATCTTGTGACTTCATCTAGTCCACGGGACTGAGAAAACTTGCAGCAGGGTGAACCGCAGGGGTGAGGAAATACGTTGACATACTGACTTGACTAATGCAGCTAATTGCCTACGTTGAACACACACAGGTCAGCGATTTGGGAGTGGAGAAAAGAATGTAATGATCCACCCACCTTTCGTTTTCCATTCCCAATGGCTCGTGTCACATAGGTTTGCATACACATGTGACAAGTTTTTCTCTGTCCTGCCAGCCAGATCCCAAGTAATGACACAGAAACTTCTATTTAATTATGAAAGCGTGGCCTGTAGCTTAGGCTTGTTCCTAACTAGCTGTTATAACTTAAATTAACCCATTTATACTAATCTATGTTCTGCCATGTGACGTTATCTCTCTTCCATACTGCACCCACCCCCTGTTTCCTCTGTGTCCCCTGGTTTCTCCTGAGGCCTCGATTCCTCCTCCTCTTCCTCTCTCTCCCCAGAAATCCCACCTGTACTTCCTGCCTATATATTGGCCACTTAGCTTTTTATTATACTAATCACAGCAATGTAACTTCACTCAGTGTACAAATACCCTACAACACAGACACAACGGCAGCTGACCTTTCGAACGTGATTTTGATAGACAGCATGCGGCTTTTCAGCCATAGATTTTTTTAAAGACAAGTCCGTTTAAACAAAGATGTCTATGAGTAAACAAAGAGTTATCAGTACAATAGTAAGGTACATTTCAAGGCAATTATTAAGACTCTCAAATCAAGTGGTTATTTTCTCATTGGCGAATGAGCGATTACACAAAGCATATGAATTTATATGAAATGACTTGTGAGCTTCTGTACCACAGTGCTCAGCCATCAGGAGTGGCAAGAACCTGCCTGGATATTGGTCAGCATGAAAACAGTCAATGCAATGTATCTTCTTTGACATTCAGGGAATCTGAGGAGTAAGGGGACCATCCTAACGATTCTGTGACCTCTCAATGCAGCCAGTACATTTCTTAGCTCTGGCCTGATTTGTTGCTCTATTTCAAGGCTCTTGTTCATATTGAGGGAGGTCACTGTAGTCATTCTGTGAATATTTAGATCGTATTCATTTGTAATAGCAAAACACTAGAAACCATTGGGATGTCCTTAATGGGAATTATATCATGGCTTAGCCAGGTAATGGTATGCCACTTATTAGTGAAAAACTTTGAAAATTGACTCACATAACAAAATTACATTAAAGTAATTATCCTAAATACCACTTTTCTGACAAGATTATCTGTCCACCAAGAAGTAATCAGGAAAAAAAAAATATGTGTCATTAGATCAGTTGGAAATGTGAGGGCCAGAGCTTATGTCAGAGGTAGGACATTGGGTAACATATGTGACGTTTGAGGTTTGGGGCTTTATTGGGAGGGCGGCAAAGCGTGGATGGGAGCGAGTTCTGGGATGACGAATGTGCCCGTTATCTTGACTGCAGTATTGGTTCATGAATATATATATATATATATATACATGTATGTGTATATATATGTATATGTGTATATATGTATGTATGTATATATATATATATATATATATATATATATATATATTACACAGTTTGCAGCCCAGCAGTCGTTTTCAATGACGAAACCCACCATTGAGAAGACAGAACGTGGACTGGTGCGCCAGCAGTGTGGGTCTTACAGGATGGATTCTGCTTGTTTTGCAGGGTGGATTGCTATTCTGGGTGCCATCTGGTTGCTAATTTTAGCTGACGCTCACGACTTTGAGATCATTCTCCACAGAGTAGAGTGGCCGACCCTCCTCTTCTTTGCGGCGCTCTTTGTACTGATGGAGGTAAGGACTGTGAGGTCATGTGAACTTCTACTTGATTTTAGCCTTCATATTTTGCCTACAGAGTGAAGCCTAAGCCTACATATTTACTAAATGGAAAAATGATGGAGGTTAATGGTAAGGTGACCAGTGGGTTTTTTTTTTAAATCTCAGTCATTTAACTGCTCTTCATTAAAAAAATACTGATTTGGTTACTATTTTTTCTTTTTCTTCTTCCTGAATTGTTTTTGTGACAGGCGAATTTGTTTTAATTTAATTTGTTTATAAAACACAGAATTTGCTCAGAATTAAGACCAGAGAAAAATGGCTTGCAAGGACAAGTTCATTGGGCAAAAGAAACTGACTTCAGCTGTACAAATATTGACTGCGGCTTTTGATCGTGACTCTTACTGAAAATTATTGACGATATGTATTTTAATCTTGAATATGCTTACAAATGTGTGCCTTCCTCCAACAGAGAGGAAGGGGAAATAACTAACAAAAACACTACTCAACTGAGGTGCTGCCCCTGCCTGAACACTGATTCCTGGTACGCCTCATGGTTGACCTGTAGTGGCGTCTGTGTGTGTGTGTGTGTGTGTGTGTGTGTGTGTGTGTGTGTGTGTGTGTGTGAGAGAGAGACAGGGTTTCCCTGTGTAGCAGCCCTGGATCTCGCTCTGTGGACCAGGCTGGCCTCAACTCACAGAGATCCACCTGCCTCTGGCTCCCGTGTGCTGGGACTAAAGGTGTGCGCCACCCACGCCTGGTGTGCTTTCACTTTCTAAGCTAGAATTATTCCCCAGATTTTAAGTAATGGGTTATTTGACTCCTTGACGTATGTTCTTAATTTTTTTTACAATTAATTTGAAAGTTATCATACAAAGCGATGGGCTTGATTATGTCAATCTCATCCACGTGCCACACTTTCTTCTTACTCACACCCCTTCGGCCACACTCTCCCTTTCTGTCTGCTCCACTCTCTCCCAAACTGTCATCCCTTCTGCTTCCACGCCCCACGTATTCTATTAGCCTCTCCCTTTCCACCGTTCCTCACTCCCGACTTCCTAAAGATCAATTCTTACTCTTATCTTCATTCATGGCTCTCCACACACACACACACACACACACACACACACCCCTACACAACTAAATACAGATTCTACATATGAGATAAGACATGCCACCATTGTCTTTCTGAGTCTGGCGTGTGTTGATTACGTAATGGTCCACAGGTCCACCTGTTTACCTGCAAATGTGATCTCATATTGTTTTAAGGCTGAGATTTTTCTTTGTGTGTCTGTGACTACCCATTCATTGTGTGAATCTCTGTGAGTGTTTGAGCACACACACACACACACACACACACACACACACAAAGTATTAAACTGACTCCTGGGGTCTATCATCACACACATAGATCAACGCATCTTACAACCATTATCAGAGGAGCTTCTGTCTTCAGAGTTTCATAATTGGCCAAGGTGCAGGAAATAAAGAGACTGCAGAATGCCCATCCCTAAAGAAATAATACCTGTACTTCATCCCCTACCCCAAAGTTCAGGAACCATTGAAGAAGACGGGGCAGAGAGGGTGTAAGAAGTTATAGATGTGTCCATTGTGTAGAACAATGGCAGTATATTATGGCCTGTCTAGTTATATGTTCTTAGCCTGATAATGGTGCCAGCTATGAATTTCATCTTGTGGAGCTGGACTCAAATCCAAGCAGAAAGTGGTTGGTTCCTCCCATACTATTTATGCCACTATTGCACTAGAGGGCGTGTCTTGCCAGGGTTGCCAGGGTGGTTACTATTGTAGTTTATAGGGTTCACAGTTTGTTAAGGTGATTACTTTCATCCTCTGGTAGCACACTTAGCTTCTTCCAGCACTACGAAGGCTAGTCAATAGAGACTATTGCTTCCAGGTCAATTCCGGTTTGATTCCTCCATGTACTCAAGTATGCGGTGTCTTTAGCAGTAGGGTCTTTCCATCAAGATTTTAGGGTAACCGGGCGTATTGGCAGTAGCCTATAATGTTTAGGGGTCTTTGATACCTCACTGGTCAACAGCTCCTAAAAGGTAACCTATTCCCAGTACTGGACCTTTCATTTGGTAGCTTCTGTTGTCTGGTAAGAACATCGTTACTCCACTGTGGGAAAATTCCATTTTGATTCTTGTTATGTATGTATGTAGACTTGTTTTAGGAAGCTTCTAAGTAAGTGGTAGGTTTCCAGGTGAGCTTCCTGAAAAGCCTTTGGTGGTTTTTGGTCCCTTCCAGTTTCTCTCCACTACCCTGCTCTCCCTCACACACCACAATCTACCCTTTCCTATTTCTTGCCTCTTTTAAACCATTATGTCAGTGCATTCTATCTTCCCTTGAAAGACCTTCCCCAAGAGCCCTTATTAATTTCCTTATCTCTATGGGCATTCTTAATAAAACACACACACACACACACACACACACACACACACACACACACACACACCCCTAAAAATTCAAAGCTAATTTCCACAATTGAGAAAAAACTTTTTAATTTTGTCTATCTGGGTCTCAGTTACCTCATTCAGAATGATTTTTTTTTCTAGTTCCATCCATCTACCTTCTAATTTCATAAATTTCATCTTTTCCTAATAGACGAGTAATGGCCCATCTATTGTGCAAACATGCCATATTTTCGTTATTCACTCATCAGTTCATGGGTGTCTAGACCATTTCTATGCCCTGGGTTTCGTGAGCACAGCATCAGTGGACATGAGTGAACAAGAATCTCTGTAGTAAGATATAGAGTCCTTTGGGTACATGCGCAAGAGTGGTATAGCCCAATCATTTGGTAGATCTAATTTTGGCTTCCAACTGATCTCCTTAGTTGTTATACGTTTACATTTCTACCAGTGGGGAACAAGTCTTCCCTCTCCCTCACACCCAAGCTGGCATTTGTTGTCTTTTTTTCCCCCTCAATGATGACAATTCTGACTGTAGTCAGATGGAATCCCAAAGGAAGTTTACTTCTGTTTCTCTGATGCTAAGTCTGTTGAACATTTATTTTTCCAGGTATTTACCGGCCATTCATAATTCCTTTCAGAACTGTCTTTTCAGTTTACTGGCCTATTTATTGACTGGATAATTTATTATTTTGATGTTTAGTATTTGAAGCTATCTATATGTTGCAGATATTAACTCTCTGTCTGATATGTAGTTAGCAAAGATTTTTTTCCCCCCATTTTGTATGCTGTCTCTTCACTTTGGTGATCATGATTTTTCTTTGCAGAGCCTTTTAATTTTGTATAATCCTTTTTTTATTCAATTCTTGGGGTTATTTTCTCTGCTATTGGAAACCTTTTTGAAAAGTCTTTGCTTGTGCCTGTACCTTAAAGTATTTTTATCTGTGTTGCCCTCAGCAGTTTCAGACTCTCAGGTCATTCATCAAGGGTTTGGAGTCATTTTGAATTGATTTTGTATAGGATGAGAAACACAGCTTTAATTTCCTTCCTCTACATGTGGACATTCAGTGTTCCTGAAGTATTTGCTGAAGAGGCTGCTTTTTCTTTTCTCAATTTATGTTTTTGGAACCTTTATTAGAAGGCTATATCTGTGTGAGCTTATTTCTGGGCACACTGTTTTATTCCATTGGTCTATGTGTCTGTTGTTGTGCCAGTATAATACAATTTTTGCTATTATGGTTCTGTAATATAATTTGAGATCAAGTATTGTGATGTCTCCAGCTGGATTCTTCCTGCTTCATCATGTTTTGGTTGTTTGAAGTCTTTTGTGCTTCCACATGAAATTTAAGATTTTTTTTCTATTCTATTGTTAATATTTGGATGGGGATTGTATTGAACCATAGATTACTTTTAATGATATAGCCATTTTTACAGTATGAAACTTGCCAATCTATAAACATGAACGTTTTTGTATCTTCTAGTAGGTGTATTTAGTCTTGTAATATTAGAACATGAAACATTCATAGAGAATATACTCAAGAACTGAACAATAGAATTATAACCCACCCACCAACCAACCAACCAACCAACCAACCAACCAACCAACCAACCAGCTGCCTCATAATGTTTTAACTAATTTGTGATTTTGTGTTAGGCTGCATTCATTATTATTTTTGCCCTTATACATTTCTGGGCTGTGGCTAAACACATTTGATTCTGTCTTAAAATTTTCGTTGATGATGTCTTCATATTCTTCATAGGTTATCATTATTGTTTTAACTTTTATTGATTCTTTGTAGATGTCATATCATTTATTCTGATCCCACTTATCTTCCCTCTCATCTGTCCTCTGCCCTTGCAATGGCCCCCAACAAACAGAAGTTAACACCCCCCCCACACACACACACAGAGAGAGAGAGAGAGAGAGAGAGAGAGAGAGAGGGTGTGTGGCCCGTTGAGTCACACAGAGTACCTTTTAGTCCATTCATCTTTCCTTGCAAGTGTCCTTTACCAGGAACTCCATGGCACAGGACAACAACAGGATATCCAAGAGGAACCCTACTGAGAACCCACTACGGATGGTGTAGCAGAAGCCAGAGGCCTCCAGCCAGGCCAATGGCTCATGTTCTAAAGCAGGAAACGGAGACCGCGTCTTCTAAACTCTGAAATGAAAGATTACCCACCGTCTTCACTTTTCTCAATATGCTGCTTGAACTCTTGACTATAATAGTAAGAAAAGTGAGAGGAATAAATAGGAGATGAATTAAAATTATCCATATCTGAAAAGAAATGAAGAGAGTGGGCAATCTTTCATTACAGAGTTTAGAAGACGTGGTCTCCGTTCCCCACATTAGAACTTTGTTGGCTTATGAGCCTGCCATATATGCTTTATTATACTACATTTATCATGTTTTATTTATGTTTTGAGTTTATTTGTGTGTTTTTTACTTATCACAAAAGATGTTGAACTTTGCAAAAGGCATTTTTTTTTTTTTTGGTTGGAGTGATGATACTTGCTGCCAAGTCTTGAGGGTCAGAGTTCAAATCCCGGAACCCTCATGGCAAACTGACCATCCTGTGAATGCCT